GAGAACATTAGAGGTGAAAGTGCACTCCCGGACACTGCACTTTTCAAGCCGTCTTGCAGCCCGTCTTGTGGATACGACCCCCTCCCTTTTCGGTCGGCTGAATACGACCCCCTCGTTGTTCTTTGCGCAACGCAGGGTTGACCCTGCTCAAGTGTACAAACTCATACCTTAACGCGCATGCTTCCATGCTGATTTCCTTCGGAGAATTTGCTGAACATCCGCAATAGGTCAAAGTACTGAAAGCACCACGAATGGTTCATTCTTTTACCATATGTGAAGTACTTATCATGCCACGGCCTTGTATGAATAAGGGGGCGGCTCAATACGGTGCTAACAAGGGGGAGGAGTGTTCAGGGCAAGCCACGCTTTTTCAAAACGGTTTCTGCATATTGTAGGGACGCATGTAGGGAACACAAAACCATGTTTTTTCGCTGAACGGTTTTAGCAGTACCAAAAAAGAAGCATAAGGTACTGTTAAGGGTTCGATCCCCGTGGCGACTAAATTTTGCATTTGGGTTGGCGCCTACGGTTGGTGCCAAATCGCGCTAAATATCAAAATCAGATGTCAAATTCATCGTCAGGACCATTTTGAAGCCAACAAGTGGCCGCCAACCTTGATTGCAAAATTTAGTCGCCGCGGGGGATCGAACCATCAAGGGTATCATTCACCACTTTTTTGATACTACTAAAACCGTTCAGCGAAACATGGTTTTGTGGTCCATACATGCGTCCCTACAATGCAAGAAACCGTTTCCAAAAAGCGCGGCTTGCCCTGAAAGACCCCCTCCCTTTGTAAGAGCCCTGCGCGTTTAAAATCATAAAACACATCTATTATACATGTTCAGGAGGAAGCCCAAGGATCAGATGGAAGTAACGGTCCACAACATTCATTACAATGTATTCGAGTCCCACTATCAACAAAATTGAAATCATGTTTCTTAAGCCAAAAGATGTATGCGTAATGAAGCATGGGCAAACGTGTGTGTACAGGATTTGGTCGCAAACTGTGCAGACCACCCCTCACATCTACGGCGGAAAAGTTAGAAAAAGCATGGCATAAGTGAAGGAAGTGTGGGGATGTAGAAGTTTCAGTTCCTTGAAAATTGTCGAGTTTATTTCTGGGTATATCGTGTGCCTGACGCATGTGTTCGCAGTCAGCTGGGCAGCCCAAACACCTTGTGGAGCAGTGGTACTGTACAGGGTGGGGCACGAATATGGTGACTAAAGAAGGAATAAGATCGTTTGCAATGGTGTCGTCACACTCGCTAAACGTGGATCGTGACAGCATCCGTAAGATCATTTTCAGGCAGTTACGGTCCATATTTCGCCGTCTGATTAGGGGTGTGTATGGATTTGACGTGGCCGTCGTCGCACTTGATAGAAGTCGTGTGGATAAGCTGTTTCTAACATACTCGCTGGATATCAGCAAAGCATGCTGGAACAGCTTATCCACGCAACTTCTATCAAGTGCGGCGAGGCCACGTCAAACTCATACACACCTTATCAGACGGTGAGATATGGCTGCATGCTTGGAAGGGGCTAAAGAATCCTACTACTGGCTTGACACATGACTTGCACGGGTGGGGCACAAATATGCTGACAGAGTAATGGCCCAGTGAAACAGAAACAACGATAGAGTATATTAACCGCAGCAATCCTGGGTGTGACCATATGACCATGACCACTGTTAATTTCTTGTTCATTATAGCTGCCCATGAATTTATCTTTCAAACGGACACAGAAATCAACCCTTGCCCACACGACAATCCTTCAGAATTTCATCTCATACTATTGTGGAGATCTCAGTTTTTAACGAGTTATGGGGTTGCTCTGCTTGGGGGCTTTTCAGCTTCAATACCGACCACATTGCATAATCCACTACATTCAAGGTGAAGGATTTGACAGGCCATTCTATTTTTGAACCAAAATCGGCCGGCTAGGATATGCATCAGACATGCACAACATTCAATCCGTGAGCTATCACATGTCTTGCTATTTGATCCAATCATGATGAGTGGTGAAGATGACGACAGTTTTTTTCCGAATTCTCTCCTGTATTCTATCTTGTACCTATTATGGTGTCATTTGCCTCAAATTTCAATCTTACATCGCAAGCCAACGACGAACAAGTGGTCACAACTCAGAGACAATTCATTGCTAACCCATAGGCTAGGAAGTCGTAATCTATCTACGTTGCCTCTGATCTGTTAGTTTCTCCGAAACTCTCTGAGGTTTTCTCGAATGAGCTCCTGATCGTTCATGAAAAATGTCGGAGGACCTGTCATCGGTCTTCCTATGAAGCACGGGGTCGCTAGAATCGCTCGACATTTTTCCTATTTTTCCTGTGTCCGTCCTAGAGAGCTTGTCCTTTATCTGATCCATAAGCATGTGTTTTCTACACACAGCACCTTTTAACCTTGTCCTGTCGAAACTAACCCAATTTTATCATGTTTCTACTAAATTGAATTGGGTACGCTTCCTGCCAATACCGGCAAGCGCTGGTAACATCGCTCCTGCGTAATCTTTACACCTTCCCCTGCGCTCCCTTTCACTTCCTTGACACCAATACCTCATGGAGGTGAAGCGATGCACAAAAAGGTGTTTTATACGGACATTGTCGCAAGCATGACATGACCTTGTAATGACAGCTCAATATCTAACTGTACCTCAGGCTTACTGCGAAATGGTTTCTCTCGTCCCATCCCCATCCTCCCCTACTTCCTCCACTGCCTTCCAGAGTACAGTCCATATCTCGGAGATTGATTAGGCGTGGCTATAGGTTTGACGTGGCGACCGCCGCACTGGATAGAAGTTGTGCGGATAGCTCCTTCCAGCATGCACTGCTAATATCAAGCGGAACGGCTTATCCACACGACTTCTAGTAAGTGAGGCGACGGTCACGTCAAACCCAAAGAGACGCCTAATCAGATTACGGCCAATGGGCTGTAGGTGCTTATTTGGGTCGTTGGTCCGTACTATCACAATCGATGGAACATTTGTAAACCAAATTGATAGTTCAATCCTGCGAGTAACTATTTGTTAGCGGACTGAAATGTGTTTATCAATTTGAGCTTCTTATCCTTTTTTGCATAAGACGAGCGACATGATACCTTCACAGACACATTCATTCAACCTACACACCAAGAGCGGTTTATATAATGGAAGGATTTACAGACGCTCTTTTGGCATCGTAACCGATCGACCTCTATGGGGAAGACCATTATGCGTTCTTTATTTGTGGGTTGGATGACGGTGATGATGCTCCTTCGGTACAGCCGCTCTCGGAAGAACTTGAACTGACAGAGCGTGAGCGAGAAATCCGGTTACTTTCAGAAGAAGTGAAGCCATTCACCAAATAAAGATAGTGAAACCATGGAACCATAGTGTTGATTGTAATTGAGTGTGGCGAGTCTGACGATCCAGTAGGAATCCCTGCTCACCGCGGTGTAACTGTTTCTTGAGGTCCAGTCTTGTCACCATATTCAAGTCCCACTTTGGCTTGCAGTTATGTGAGACAGAGACCCCTATTCTATGCTTGGTGGGTGTTATCACAGTCACAGCATCACAACAGATTGATAACCGAGATTGCTTTCGTGGTCTTGTTAGCGGTCGGCTCCTCAATCGTACCGCTCCATGAGAGTGCATTGATGTGGAAATGAATGCCTATCATGCATCAGCGGAACGACCTCCATTTCAAAGTACAGTCTCTTATGGAGCGGGCGAAGAGTTCAAGTACAGCTACAGTAACTCTATCTAACTCGGCCTTTACAGCTACAGTACAGCTTTCACTTCTGCTTACAATGACCCCCTCCCTCTTTGAGGGCGACTAGTGCTTTGGATCCCAGGCATGAACGGGCGTTGCTGTCCTCTTTGAGAGATCGCTGTCTTTCATGGACAACAGGTCTTTCCAGAAGACAGCAGCGCCCCTCTATGCCGCAGGATTACTGCTGATTGATTCAATTCAATGATTCTACGGCGAATTCCAGTGCATAAACCAAGAGATTTGTCGTGCCAGAACTGCTCCGCTTGCAAACCTCCTCACCTGACCGTGTATATCTCCTACGATCACAATAGGCGGATTTATTTCGGCTAAAGTGTTTTCCAATTTGAGCAATTCCATACTGCATTTTATAACATCTTTCAACTCTTCAGATGTGTATTTGATCTGCAAAAGCTTTTTGGTTTCAAGTGATCGTAGACAAGGGACCCTCACTTTTGACACTCTCATTACTCGGTAGTGAAAAATCTGCCCAGATGAAGACGTCCTACGACACCACGCTGCGCCAAGCCTGAACTGACTTACATGTCGATCGTTGAGTACGTTACTCATCTTGAGATGCCTTTTCAGAAATGACGAGTAGTCCACTGCCCCACCACTGGGTTGCGCCATCACCGGTTACCAACAACTGGCGGTCGTGGAACAACAGAAACTGCTATACCCACCGCTAGTCCTCCCTTTTATACGCGTTTCACATCATTTTGATTGGAAGTAGTAATCATTCCCTAGTGCACTGATTTCTGGAGCTGTTCACGTAATGTACGCCTGCCGTTGTGTGGTCGTATTTACTTAATGTCTTACTTTGTTCATGTTTGCTTACATCCCAAGATATCAGAGGAGGATACCGCGATAATGTCGAAGGTTGAGAAAAGGGAAATGTTGAAAGGCAAAACCTAGTCGAAAGGCAGGCGGGCCCTGCAAAAGTGTGGGGGATGGCGTTTTGCAGCTAGGAGTATGCCCTCAGAGGCCTAGGAGAGACGTGCACCCGGGGTCATGTCACTAGAGCTGCGCGATCATTGACATCTAATGTAAAGCTTGGATTCAAGCTT